AAGTCGAACCAAATTGCGATACAGAGCATCCTTTTGACAACTTTCCAAATGTCACGTTTTTTATCGTACCTAAGGCATTATCAGTTCTGCCTAATCAGAAAAAAAAGTATTTTCTTGGACATTTTCTAGGGAAACTTCCCGCCCGGGATGACAAAAATGCTGGTCATACAATTTCTTCTTAATAAAGCAAGCCTTTCGAACGTCTAAAAATGTCCGAAAAATCTTGGACTAGAATTTTCTCGTTGTATAAAAATTTCACGCTTTTAATCACGCCCGGAGGCATTCTCTTATCTACTGAAGTTGCCCCCTTTTTTATCGAAAAATCGTCTCTATTCTGGGCATTTTTTTAAATTTGATCTTGTTCCTACGCGAGGGCGTGGAAGGAAAAAGACGTGGAAGGGAGAGGGCGTGGAAGGAAAAATGAATCGCACGGCCTTCATTTTCATGTTGTAACGAGTGGTTTTATAAGGTTAAAGTGGAAGATTAAATAAATTTTTAAAGGAAGAATAAATACATTAAATATTCCGCATGTCAATTTTCAAATCAATCGGACAATGTGATCTAACAGTTAACTAAAAAACGCCAGTTGGACGAAAAGTCAAAAGATCCTTTCATTTTTATGAGCAAAATTTCAGAAAGATTTCGTCAATTTTTTATAAGAAAATTGATTCATAGCAATCATTTTCTTGCCAAATGTTGATTTTGAGGAATGTAAATGGCGTGAAAGAAGAAAAAAATCAGATTGAAAATAATTTTTTAATACATTCTGTCTCTTTTTTAAATGTTTTGAGGAGTCAGTGGAATAATTTGACATCATACAAAAAGTCTTATTTGAGTAGTCATCAAACCGTTCCTTTTAGTCTAAGTTGAATTTTGACTAGTTGCATCCGTTTACACAACTTTTAGAGGCTCACATCAAATTAGATTTTATCCTAAGTGTTACCCTTATACTTGTTAAGGGAAAGTTTAACTAAAATGATTTCAAATTTAAAATAAAACAGGTTTTTTACCATAACAGAGCTTGGAGAATTCTAAAATATTAAAGATTTTGCATCATAAAGTTTTGCGAAAAAAAATTGTGTTTAAGCATCAAACACCAAATGACCCAATGGCACGCTATTCAATGTTGAAAAAAACAATTTCAGTCGCTAAAATTTTCTATTTCGTAACATTTAGGTTGTTTCAT